GGGGTCCTAAGTTAACAGGCCTGCATTGAATTCTAGCTTCCAGCTGCCCCAGCTCACTCCTCTGGCCCCAGCCTCCGCCCACCTGTCAGCCAGGAGCTAGTTGTAAAGCGACTGCCCATATCAATATGATTAACAACCAGAAAGGAGCTGTCACTAGCAGTCATTCTGTAAGATACTATAAAGCTCTACAAAAACTCAAGAAAGAAGTTACAACCAAAGAGCAAACAAAATCAGCTCGAGAACAAACGTTGGACAAATGATACCATGAAAAGTAAGAAATAATGAACAGACACTTCCCTGTGGAATTAAAGGAAATAGTCTTCTCTGAAATAAGAAAAAATGTAATATTTCTAAGGAGAAGTGACAGTTCAATAGAGAAGATGACAAGTAAACAAGCAGGGCTTGGAAAAATGGAAGAAAATAATAAAACTATCTTAGAAAAGGCACCTTTGCTGGGATCAGCAAAAAGAACAGACCCTGTTGAAAACAGAGTCAGTGACATAAAGGACAGATGGATGAAAATCAAGAAAAATGAAATGGAAATAACAATGGCTGGCAGTTCCCAGCCCTTACTATGTACCCTTCCAAGCCCTTTTACTGTCTTAGCTCAGTAAGTCTTCGTGACAACTCTTTGAGGAAGACACATTATTAGCTCCATTTTAAAGATGAGGACACTGAGGTTTGGACATTTAACTAACTGGCCCATAGCTAAACAGCAAGTAAGCGATAGGGCAAGGATTCGAACCCAGGCAACCTGGCTTTGAAGTCTGTACTGACTACCTAAGTGCCTCCCATGGAAAAGAGCAAGGCTTCTAAAAGGACTAGAAAGAAAGGGATGCCTGTAGGAAACACAGGTGATCCAATATATGCATAACTGAAGAAGAGAACAGAAAAGAAAATGGAACCAAAAACAGTGTTTTAAAAATATACATAAAGCGTTCCTGCCATAAAGCAAAATCTAAAACCGCAACATAAAAGACAAAGAAAGAATCATATGAGCAGCCAGGCCGAGGGGGAGAGAATCAAGTCACTAAAGATGGGAACAGGATCGGGCTGACTTCTCCACAGCAACACACATTCCTAAAGGGTCATGCCGCAGTATGTAAAAAGTTCTCAGAGAAAAAACATGGAGAGTGAAGTACAAGAGCTCTGGTCCAGACACAGAATTTCTGAAGCAGAAAGGCAAGCATGCAAGAGCTCAGGGGCTATCTTACTCTTATGTCTTTCTTTTGAAAGTCATAGACGATGAGGAACAATTCTTGTCCTAACTCTTAAATATTTACTTTTAAATTAATAATAGTACATATTTTTCCAGATAGTTCAAAGACAAATTTCAGCTTAGCTATTACAGACTGCAAGTTTTGGTTAGAGAACTAAAATATTTTCTCTATCCGTGTTTCACAGAAAGACAACAAGGAAGTATAAACATCAACCCTTCAGGCTGAGGAGCTAACACCGAAGCCATGCTTCTAAGCTCAGGGCCCCTCCGCGCTCTCTTCTCTGATGGTTTCAGCCACCACCCACATTTTTAAAATCAACGAAAGGCTTTCAAAGAACAAGGGAGAAGACACTGATTTCATAATACATCCATACAAATGAGCTCTCCATAGCTCTCACTTTTCCCCATAGGAAGACCGACGGTGCTGGCTATATAACCTTTCCCACAATGGTATGGAGGAAAACCTGGAGCAAAGAGAGGCAACTGTACCGTCCCCAAAGCTTTCCAAGAAAAGATACCAGAATGTGTACTATTCTAGGACATGTACTATGCTTTACATAAGACTATACTATACACTCTACTGCAACCTAAGGTAAATAATTCCCATCATGGGTTAGTTTACGCAGGGCACACAATCAGAAGTTACACATAATAAAACAAATCACTACAATAACATTACGCTCTGATGTTCCCTTCAGTGTCTGACCTTCAAACTTTAAAATGAACTAAAAATATATATACTTAAGAGATAATTTGTCCCACAGGTGCTTTATGAATGCCACATTGTCCCTCTGTTATTGAATAACCTCATTCTACGCATGTGAGCCAAACCTCTTTCCAGCTTGAGTTTAGTGGCAGGGTATGAGACTGTGAAATATGTTCTCATCAACTGCTCTTTCTTCACGAGGTTGAGGATATCTGTAATTACCTCACTATTGCATTGGGCTTTCCGTTAAGTATCACGTTCATAAATGATCATGGTGCTTATGATGATAATAATAGTTAACACTTGCTGAATAACTAACATGTGGAAGGTTAACAAACCTCTCAAGTATATTCATCTCTCATACTTTGCCAAATAACCCCATGAGGCCAATACGTAGTAGAGTGTGTGGAATACAGTGAATGTTCCATAATAATATTATTATTACACATGAAGAAACTAAAGCTTGAAGAGATTAAGTAACTAATCTGGTAAACACTGGGTTTAAATCTAAGCCTGTCTCATGCTCGTAGTCTCTATTCTATTCTGCTTCCTTACACATAAAAAATAGTAAGGACGCCATTGTGGTGATCGTTTCGCAATATATTCAAATACTGAATCATTACATTGTACACCTAAAAATGTTATATCTTACTTCTGCTCCTTTTAAAAACAAATAGCAAGGAAGCTAATTAAGGTAACATGACATAGGAACCCAAACAGTTCCAATTACAGTGTATCCAAACAGAGCTAAAAGAAAGCAACTTTTACTTAATATAAAAGCTAAAAATTGTATTTGTGGTGGAAGGGAGAAAAGGCAAGAGGGAAACAAGCTCATGTACAAGCAAAACAACAACAAAAACAACCCATACCACATAAAAAATATATATGGCTACTGTATCTGGGCCTAAAAAAGTATCAAACATACTGACTGCTCAGGGCAAGCTGCTGTCCAAACATAGGACCAGACTGTGTTTTCTCTACCTTATCAGACGGCCAAGTTACTGCAACTGAACACTCCAGGCAGTAATAATGCCAGTCTCAGGATGTGAGAACGCGGAAGAGCTCAAAAGGTTTGAAAGTAAGATTTTCTTTCATTCGCATCCTCAGAGAATAACTACCTCCTATGCTGGGAGGGAGGGAGGGAGGGAGGGAGGCAGGGAGGCAGGGAGGGAGGGACTAAAAGAAAAAAGAAATAAAGCTAAATATGTCTGACCACCTCATTACCTCTCCTGAGGATATCATCCTACACTAAGGATACACAAGGCTACTCTCTTCAAAGTTAATTAATCCTGCAGGTACGCGGACCTGCCCCCTTTTCGTTTCAATGTTCCATACCCATTCCAAAATAGATATCAATGTCCCTTCCATTGTTCTAATGAGCCCATGTGAAAAGAAATGTCTTAGGTTATAAAGTCTGGAGACAGAAATGCAAATTCATGTCAAACCCATACCCAACAGTCACCCGTAGCTCAACGGAGCAGACTGCAAACTCCCTGAGGACCAGGCCCGTGCACCCTGCCTGCACCTTAGGCTGGATTCCCACCAGGCGGCCAGCGAGCCCTTACTAACCCTGCCAGTGAAAGCAG